CCCCCCACTCACCCAGTGTGCTCCTCTCCCTCCCCCTCCCCCCACTCACCCAGTGTGCTCCTCTCCCGCTGTTTCTTCAACAAGAAGTCGGTCAGTTCCTGCTGTTGGCTCTGTATCTCTCTCTCCAGACGGAGCTCTGTCCGCGACTCTATCGCGCTGTTCTGCATAGCCTGACGACACACAGATATAGGTTGGGTTGGGTTCTTTGTTGTTCGGTTGTTTTTTGTTTTGTTTTTCCATACGACGTGGGGAACTCTGTGCCACCACTTAACCCTATCCGTACGTCGTGTTTTACTATCCTATCCATACGACGTGGGGAACACTGTGCCGCCACTTTCCAAAGAGGAAATTTACTCGTTAATCCGATTCGTACGCTTTGCATAGCAGTCTGTCAAAATGATTTTTTGAGAAATACTTAAAGTTTCAAAAAAATCTTCGTACTAGAAGTATTTTAAAATGTGAAACATACAACCCCGGAGGTACAAAATGACCCCGTGGGTGGTTGGCGGGTGCTCTGGTGTGGTTTTCTCCTTTTTTCCTATCAAACAATTATCGTCCTTATCTCCCCTCCTTCTTCTTTTATTTTTTAATGTTTGTTACTCTCTTGTAACACCTCTAATCTTCAGGCGCTCATATGACCTTATGCAGTTGCGAGTGCTGTAAAACTCTTACTAAAACTTTTTTTAAAAATGACCCCAGGGCGTACGGATAGAGTTAACCCCTCCCCGCCAGACTGATATCTTGGTTAAATGATGTAGCAGCGATCAAGTGCAGCGAGATCTCTAGCAGCGATCAAGTGCAGCCAGATCTCGGAGAACTTCTGTTACCTGCAGCTGATCCGAGGCGTGATAACCCCTGAAGACGACCTTCTGAACTGTGAACCCGACCCGCTGCGCCCTCTGACACAGCTGTGGGTAGGTCTCCAGACGGCTCAGGTGGTCAGTACACGACACAAACTTCTTGTACCTGCCACAGGGAAGGAAAACAACTTTTGAATACTTTGACAGTTAAAGAAACTGTCTTTTGTTTTAGTAGGAGTTCTACAGCACTTGCAACACAATTAGGTCATTTAAGTGCCAAAGATTAGAGGTGTTACAAGAGAGTAACAAACAAAAAAAAGGAGGAGGAGAGATAAAGACCATAGATTTTTTATAGGGAAGAAGGAGCAAACCACACCATAGCACCCACCAACCACCCACTGAAACTGTCTATGACAGCCACCACTGGTTGTTGAGGAGAGAAGTGGTTGTCTTATACAGGTGGATGTTTTATACAGGTGGTTGTCTTATACAGGTGGATGTCTTATACAGGTGATTGTCTTATACAGGTGGATGTTTTATACAGGTGGTTGTCTTATACAGGTGGTTGTCTTATACAGGTGGTTGTCTTATACAGGTGGATGTCTTATACAGGTGGTTGTCTTATACAGGTGGATGTCTTATACAGGTGGTTGTCTTATACAGGTGGATGTCTTGTACAGGTGGTTGTCTTATACATGTGGTTGTCTTATACAGGTGGATGTCTTATACAGGTGATTGTCTTATACAGGTGGATGTTTTATACAGGTGGTTGTCTTATACAG